GAGGCAAGTTACCTCGATTACTGCGAATATTTAGTTCCTCGCCGACCGAGCAGTCCTCCACAAAACACAGCTGCTTGTCCGTCACCGGAGGACGGGGGTGTCGAGCAGGAAGGCTGGATTAAGTTTTTCCTACTGATCGGTGGAAACCCAACCAGGAAGAGCACACACACGCGCACACACGCACTCATCTCGCAGGCAGCGCCACCGACCGTCCTCCCTCCACTCCTCCCCAGCTCTCCCAGTTCACGGAGCTCTGCCATCGCACCAGTCCGGCTCTTCTCCCGCACCTCCTCCTCCTCCAGAGCCGCGGATTTGTTCGACGGCTCCGCTGCTGGCAGGCGAGGCGAAGCAGGGCAGGAGAGGGGGAAGCGTGTCGGCGTGTAAGTTGTGGCGACATTCTCGTTTTTCTTCTTCTTATTTTTTAAAAAATATTATTATTATTTTTCGCTGCTATTCGGCCCTGGATGTTTGAAGTTGCTCTGACTGCCCAGCCGTCCAGGAGCGGAGCGCAGAGCCCATTTTTTCCGCTTCGTGCACCAGAAGCGATTCGCAGGGGCTGCCGCTACGTGCCGTGTCCTCACGGGGCTCCGCCACCAGGACCGGGGATCCGAACAGCCGCCTTGTCGGTAATGAGGGATCCGTCTAGTAAATGTGATCAGGAGGGGGTGGGGGGCTGACTGCCCTTTATATTTGCTTGATGTGTGTGTGTGTGTTCTGGTAGCCACCCCCTCCCCTCTCCAGCCCATATTTAGAGCCTGGGCTGGCTACTTCAGATGGGCAAGCTACGTCAAACTGCACTGTTTCCCATCCTACTGTATTCCTTATCCACATTTATACATGTTAATGTATATGTGTATGCATGTGGTGTGGATGTATATGCATGCATGCATGCAAACCCCCGACACCTCAGTGCATGTAGATCAAGCTCAAGGCTGCAAGTCTGGGAGGAAAACAAGAACAATCCCAGCCAGCTAATGTTTGAAATTCTTCTTGTCTTTTATCTGCTCTTGATAAAAAAAAAGGAAAAAACCCTCAACATGCCAACGCCTCCAGTTCAACCTGCCTGTCAGCAGCTGTGACATGGAGCATGTAAAAGAAGAGCCCTCTCTCTGTGACCCAGTGGGCTCTCTTTACCAGGGCTGGCTATTTATTTTTGATGTGGGCTGCCTCCACCTGCAAGTTGAAAAGCAGGAACATTAAAAAAAGAGGAAAAAACAACAAGTGGATGGAGCATTAACTGCAGGTGCAGGTGTAGCAGTGGAGGTGTTTGTGACTGTGGCATGCACAGTTCCGTGTCCCAGTGATCTGGTGCAGAGTTTGAGTTTTATTCTGGAAGGTGTACGTGTGTTGGTTAACTCAGTGGTTTGTGATTCTTTAAAATGAGCCTGTATGTGACCCTTCATTGCATGAGTGGTGTGTCATCAGATATGTCTCATTTGACGGCTTTTGAGGCTCATAAGATGTCAGCATTTTAAAAAGAAGAAAAACTAAGTAGGGACTGTGTTAAAGTTATTAGTGGATAAAGGGGTTTAAAATAAAAGGGGCTGGGTTATGTGGTTCTTTTAAGTTTTCGTGTCTTTAGGGGGCAAGGAAGATTTCTCAACTTTTTAAAAGAATATTTTTACATTTTGGTGTGAAACTATTGCACTGTTAAATTCACCAGCAGTGTTGAGCACCGGGGTCTGAGTCACTCATTCAGAGGCTTTTAAAGGCCAAAGTTGTGCATCACTCAAAAAGAAAAAAAGACATTATGATACGTCTGCCACAAATATATTATAATATGTAAAAAAATGAGTCCCTTAGAGAAATGTACCAGTAGTGCTTAAAAACTGACCTGTGATTTCATTTAACAAGACGGTTTTACCCAACTTAAGGTCCCTTTTTCAGGTGTTTTATAACAATACAACAATTACAGAATAAACACATTTGTTGAAGTTAACATAGTAATAATATAATATATAGATATAAATATTGATATGCTTTACAAACACATACAATGATTTATAACCCAGATGTAGGGACTTGAATTAAAGCGGGACAAACCAAAAAAATTAAAAACACTCTCAGGCAAGTTTCTAAATGAATTGGAAACCACTGAAGAAGTACGGTTATAACTAATAACAAGAATTCATAAAATGTTAAATATACCATTTACAGATGATTTATATGATGAGTTTTAGTTGTTACCAAAGATAAGTAAAAATAAATAAACACTTAAAAGCAAAGCAACTGTGAGTAACCCATCTACATCATAGTATATTATAATACTATGTTTGTTCATTTATTACTTCTAAAAGCTCAATTAGGGGTTAAATTCATTGTTACCACAAAAAAATAAACAGATTTCAGTATCAGATTAGTTCAATCTCATTTATTACTGACCCCTTAGATTTCAGGGAGTATGGACCTATGGGGAGGTCTTGATCCAGTTTTGCAACCACAAGGCTATTTAACAAGTGGCCAGTTACCACAAATGCATGATTGTGTTGCTGGTATTCGTGTTTGAGTGGCAGAGCATTGACAATTGAATTCCATTTGCGTGTCCTGATGCTGTAGTGTCATTATTTAAACTCATCTCCGTTGCTGTTTTGACCGTAGTCTTACCATAAAAAATGATTCTGGTGAGCTAGCTGCTTGATGCTCCGAGAGGAACTGATGATCTGTTTTCTAACCAATTAGAGTCAGAGCGCAGGGCCATTGATCTTGCTATAAATGTGAAATTACTTCCTGAGGATCACTGGGCCAAGCTGTTTCTAAAGAGCCAAATTGCCATTTGACCAGAGAGCGCTGCCACCTGAGATAATATCTTACAGGTTATTTCTTTCGGTGCCCACCTACACCTCTCAGCAGTGTCCCACAAAAGCTGCTGGAAAATATTCTGACATGCTTTCATGGCACGATAAAAGCTAGGTTTCAAGGCTATTGAAGTAGGGCAGTTTTGAGTAGAAATATTGGATTGGATGTCAGAGAACTACTTTAAATTAACATACAAATAGGAGCGTTTGATTGTTAAACATGAAATGAAAACACCTTTGATTTTTTTGGTGCCATTCGGGTATTTCATTTTAGTCCCAGTCAGCAAGGTCCCACCATGAAACTGATTAGATCTTCTCTGTGAAGTGCAGTCTAGAGTTGGGTGTCCTGTGACAGAGCAAAGATAAGATGAAGGTTCACACATATCAAACAATGATAGTTCTTTTCTGTTGTTGTTTCAAGGTCTTTAAGCTATTAGTTACATGCAAATCTTGTTTTTAGTGTTTTGTGAAGTGCAGTGTATTTAATCGCAGTGGATCCAGACACAAGGCTGCTTCTTCCTATTTAAGTTGTTGATCAATTTATACATAATTTAACAGACTAAATAAGAAATCTCAAATTGCCTCAATTATCATTAACCCTGCAGCTAAACCCTACTGCCAGTATCACTCACATTTGAGCCTTCATGATGCACAAGCCCTCAGATGAGGCAAAATCAAACATGTTTGAAAAATCTTGCCGGGGTTCGCCTGCCTTAGAGTTGTCGGTTGTGCCAAAATCTCCGGTCTTGAATGTGATTAAATTGCAGAGTTATGTGCATCAGGCCTCTCAGTGCCACACACAGCCACGCTAGTCTGAACAGATGCCCTGACCCATAACTCAGAAGTGCTACTGCATATGGAAAGAATTAGGAAACATTAAAAAGCTCTAATAAGACCTGGAATGACTGATATGATGAATATTTCAAGCTCAATTGAGGAAAAACCTCACAAATGCTGTCTTTTTATAGATTAGAAGGCACATGCTGTAAATATGCATGTCAATAGTCTTTAAGGGGATTTCATTAACTGATTATAGCTAATTAGGAAGTAATCTGGTGGGACTTTGGGAGTCTTTGGATTTTGGAAAAAACAGTTTGAGTTAAAAAATGAATGTTGAATAATAGAAAATATAGTTGTTTTTGGTGTTTTCTCTTGGGAGCAGGACTGTAAGCACAGTTTTAAATGCAGCTCTAAGTCTTTACAAGTTTGTCCATGTCATCAGGGAAACAATAAATCTTTATGATCTTCACTATAGAAATGCACAGCTCTAACTTTAATTCTTAGTTTTTTTCATTTTTTTCACAAAAACTCCCGAGCTCATTATCTGCTGCTGGTTGTACATTTAATTACTAAATGATTTTACAATTAGCTTTGGGAATAGTTACGCTCTAACATACCGATGTATGCACAAGATCCTCTTCCTCTGCGTAACATAGAGATAATGAGTCATTCGATGCCATGAAATTAAAGGTACAAAATGCGGCTTGTTTTAAATAGGCTTTTAGTCAGCTTGTTTATTTAGTCTTATTTTACTCAGTGGAATTGGATGTTGTAGTGAATCCTTTTAGATGTTTTCCTGTCAGAGTCAATATTTCAGACGAAACAATTGGCCTTAACAAGGTTTGATTTACATGCTGGATTGCACATCAGGCGATAAGGCAACAAGCGCAGTGAATGAATGACAGAGTGTATCAGATTCTTTCATTCAACATAAAACAGCCACACAAGCACATTGTAATGAGAGGAAACAGGTGTATAATAGCTGGAGCTATTGATTACAAAAGCATTCAGCTGAATTTACTCCTCATTAGGCTTCTTTATTTAATCAGAAGTTGCTGTTTAAATCTAAACTAAAGGCTTGAGTACATATATCTTAGTTGTGTTTGTGTCTTTTTGGCATCGTCTTGTTTTCATGTTCTCAGTTATTTCCACACATCAAAAAACCTTTCTGCTTTATTTAATTTTAAGCAATGACCATACAAAATGTTACAGCTTCTGTGTGATAATAAGAAGCAAAACTTTCCAAAGATGTTGAATGTGTGTAGTACTGAATCGACTCTCGATGGATCTAATTAACAGCCCTGATTGTGAATTGAAGTCCTGTATAGATCACTGGTTGTTGTTCTGCAGATTGTGAGCATTGCTCGGACATGGTGAAACTAGGACAAACTGAGTTTTTACCACTTTCTGGTCTCTTATCTCTAGGCCCCGTGGAGAAGCATGTGATGACTCACGCAAGGCAGAAGGGTTCCCTCAGGCAGAGCCGCAGCAGTGCTGAGTGGTGGGACAACTGTCCTCTTGGGCCACATGGTGGCACTATGGGCGGCACTGGGCCTGAGCGCTCACTCAGATTTGGCAGGACAAAGAAGATAAGTGACGTCACCAAAATGGGGAAAGAAATGGGCAAGAAGATGACTCACAAGAGAGGGAGAAGAGAAAAATCTGATCAGAACAGGAAACTCGACCGACGGCGCAACAAAAAATTGGACAGGAAGTTGTATCCCTTGAGAGGGCGGGCTGGGGGTTCAGGTGAGGAGGGGCTCAGCTGCCACGTCCTCCTCACCCGATTAGAGGAAAGCATCCGTGAAAAAGAGAGTTCTGAAGAAAAGAAAGGAAACAATGCACGTCGACATTCAGCCCTGAAAAGTAAACCCAAAAAAGGGAAACGCAACGAAAGAAAAGAGGCAAAGAGTTCACCAAAAAACAAATCAAAGTCAGTTAGCCCAAGTCATGGGGAGGGTATTCTTGTCTTACAACCACGCAAGCGCAGGCTGGCCTCTCTCAATGCTGAGGCAGTGAACAGTCTACTGCTTGAAAGGCCTTCTGACCCTCAGCCAGCAGCCAAACAGGCCAGGAGACAGATAGAACCCACAAATGGAGGGGGTTTGTCCGATGCAGAGCCAACCAGAAGTGGTGTCCCTGGAAATCTGAAGGCTTCACGAGGTAACGTCAGTAAAGTCTCCTCATCTCAAAGACATGAACTGTGCCAAAGCTCTAAGCCAGTCAAGAGGGCCAAAGTCAGTCGTGCTGATGTGCGCAGGGAGATGAGTCAGGAGAGTCTGGATGCTCCTGCCCCCAGACGATTGGCTGGACTCAATGCCGCAGCCCTGCTGAAGTTAACCAGCTCCTCTGCTACCAGTAAACAGAGATTAAAGGCTGCACCCACAGCTACTATCACATCAGACTGCAAGGCTCCGGCTGCAGTCTCAACCCCAATACAGGACTCTAGAGTCAAACACAAACACAAAGGGCGATCACAAAAGCAGAAGGGGAAGAAGGCCCCCTCCCCACACAGCGGTTGCACAGCCTGCAAGAAGAAGGCGGACTTTGAGCCCAAAGTTGAGTGGGAAACCAGCAACTGCACACATAGACTGACCAAACCAGGCTACCAGTCACGCAGCATGCTAGCCTACCCGCTTAAGCAAGTGAAAGAGGAGCAGCTGGAAACTGAACTGAGCCCATACTACTGCTGTCCACCAGAGGGCTCAGTAGAATACTGCCACCGTTTGGCCTTCTTTCTGGGTCAGCAGCCCTATCGAGAATCAGACGAACAGCCGCTTAACACAGCCATGACCCCTGTGAAGCGCGAGTGCCTCGTAACCTCACCGTCCCTGACCCATTCCCATCCGCACACAGCCCTAACCCTCAGCTCCCACCCCTGCCTCTGCACCGCTGACCACTGCTTCTCCAGCTACTACGTCCACATTGCCCACCCGACACACACTGGAACAACATCACAATCCCTGGCCCCGCGACCTCTGAACTTTGCCCAGTCCAGTCTGTGCCCTAACCGGATGACTGGCTCCAAGCTCCTGGGTTCACGGATGTCCCACAGCTCAGGGCTGGCTCACCCCGCCTACTGCAACTCTGTGGCTTCGCCCTGTTATGGTGATGCCTGCGGGATCAATGGCTACACCTACAGAGCCATGCCTCCCGTCACCAGCAGGGGTTGCTCTTTCAGCACAGGATGCACTGGATGTACACACAGCATCAAAACAGGTGAGTGGAACAGAGTTCTCTCTTTTAGAATTTAAAGCCCCTTAGGGTTTCTAAGTGAAGACATAAAGATGTAACTCAAATTTATACAGCTACTCAAGGCCAAAGGAGCTAAAGAGACCTACATAAGAAAACACATCTGTACTGACACATTCCACAAGATTAGTCTCACTTCAGTAAATAGTAATATCATGTTGACCACTTATCCCCAAGAGTGTTGCAACAGCTACATGTAGCATTTTTCAGTAAAATGTGGAGCAGGTTGAGCGTTTCCCCCAAATGATGGCAAGTTCATTGTTATTGGGCCTCTTTGATTCACTCATCTTAAGCCCTCTTTGTACAGCTGTTATTATGAAAGAAACCCTTATCCTTGTGTTATGCTTGGATTTAGCTATTACTTGCAGAACTTAAGATTCCTTTGTTGGTGAATGTGTGCCTGGAGCTAGTTGTGTTGCTGAACAAGTGTGAACATTTCAGTTTTTTGTTGCCTTTTTTGTTGTCCATAGCTCAAGGCTCTGGCTCAGATGTTTCTTGATAAAGAGGCTTATATGTAATGTGTTCATACAGTACATGTATTAATGACTGATGAATAAGATAAGAGAAGCACGTTGTTTTTCAGGTCAATCACATATTGTGCTCATTTGAAAGTTAGTGTTACCTTTGCTGAATAGCATCAACTTAATTGTGTTAACACGCAGTAACATTAGCTTATTTAAAGTTTATGCTGCCTTTATGTAAAAATAAATAAATAAATAATGATATGTCCAGATACCGTGGATGGTGTTAATGCACCTTGATGTTGGTTGCCACCCACCAATAAACCAAACAAGGAGGAATAAGACAAATGATGCACACAAACTTTAACGTTGTCACGGTTGTTAAACAATACATCCACTTGAGGGCAGTGCACAGTTGAGACTTTCTGACAACTACCATGTTGACTGGTGGATGTTGAGATAATGAATATCTTAGGATACACACAAAACAGACACAGACATATTAAGGATTGTTTGGTCTTGACAGAGGTATGTGCTCTACTGTGCCATTCTAGTTTTGAATAACATTTTTGGATCATTGTTTTTTTATTTTTGCTTTCTTGCCATCTGTGTTAAGATTTACTTTTAATCCTTTACCTTTGCAGAGGGTTACACCTCCCCTCAGGGTGACCACAGCTCCTCCCTTCTGGTATCCCCATCCCTGCCTATCTCCAGCTGCCCTCTCTCCAGCGTGCCCACCTCCACCCAGACTAAACCCCACCTGCTGACCCCCCTGTCTGGGCGGGACCAGCCCCAGGCCAGGTTAAAGCTGGCCAGGGAATGCTCTCAGAGCACCAAGCCCTCCAATGGCTCTCTGTCCATAGGTCGCACACGTTTCCCTCAGAAAGAGTCTTCACCCGTGCCAAGCTTGACCAGCACCAAACAGAAGAAGATCAGCCGCAGACGTGCCACCAACGGCTGGCGGCCTGTTGGAATGCCCACTGAAAGGGAGGTCTTCATTGCGGTAGGTATTTCTGAATGTGTCTTTGTTCAATGAAGATGAGCTACTGTTGGTTGTCTCTCTCACTCTCTTGTACACTGTTACGTGATATCACCCTGTTAGTAGAAAACTCAGCATCCACACAGCTGCCTGGCAAAAAGAAATCTGCTCATGTGGGAGAAGATAATTGTGTTTTGACCACACAGCTTTGTGTGACAGATTCTTTTTCATGCCTCTGTACCAGCAACAGCCGTGGCTGGAGGCATAATTTTTTCAGTTGTCCATCAGTCCCATTAAATTGAACACGATATCTGAGTAACAACTTGAGGGAATTTCTTCAAATTTGACAAAAACATTCACATAGACACACGCAGGAGTTGGTTTAATTTGGAGGTCAAAGGTCACTGTGAACTCAGGTCACACGTTTTTGGGCTCTTGAACACAATATATGAAGATATATATAGATTTGGCACAAATATTTACTTAAACTCTAAAATAAGATGAAAAGATTAAATGTTGATGGTCATAGGTCAAAGATCAAGGTCACTGTGACCTCATCTCAATGTGGCATTTCGTTACATTCTTCTCAAAAGGCATGTTTTTGTTCACAACTCCTGATTTCATGTGCAAAAAATTACTAAATCTACTTTTCCCTATAATGATAATTATGTGTTCTTTCCGGTGTGTATGTGTCTGTCTCAGGGGGAGGATGAGACAGCCCTACGGCAGTGTTATGAAGGAGTCGAGAGGGACGGTGAAGTGATACATGTCCGAGACACAGTGCTGCTACGATCGGGCCCCAGGAAGAAATCCCTCCCATATGTTGCCAAGATATCAGCGCTGTGGGAGGACCCCAAAACAGGTAAATGAGAAGAGGAGGGGGCTAGATCATTTACGATGCAATGGTTTGTGAGCGTGGATGGATGAAGAGGTATCTGTCAAAGGTTGTTTACCTTTAACCTCTGTGTGTTCTGTGTTCTTGTCAATTTGCTGCCTCAGGAGAGCTGATGATGAGTCTTTTCTGGTACTACCGACCTGAGCACACCCAGGGAGGCCGAGATCCCAGTGCACACTGTGAGGTGAGGCTGGAATGAAGCAAAGCAAATACTTAATTTCCCTCCTTTTTTAAATTACAGTTCAGCAGGAAAACAGTACCATCTTACAGAAAAGCTGTGTGTGCCCTCTTAAACACAAACCACTTTACCTGTAATTTAACTGTAAACTGTTATGTGTGTAGTCTTCTGTACAATTAAGCAAATAATTATCAGATTTTATATGATTCAGTTAATTAACAGTATGCTTTCTCAGACCTTAGGAGACCCAAAGGTGCAATATTGAATGAATAAAACACACAAAAACATAACACTGTGAAATAATTGCTTATAATTTATATTTTTCAGAAAAAAAGTTTTCTGATTCCCTCACTAAAGCAGATTATGCTGCAAGTTATTTGGATTCATTTGCAGCTATTTTAATTTTAAAGTGTCATTTTCATTCCAGCTGGAGGCATTTTTTTGGGGGTTTTCTGTCTGTCTCAACCATTGCTTCCCAATAACACAATATTTTGATAAAACCTCAAGGGAATTTTTTCAAATTCGGCACAAGCATCAACTTGGACTCAAATTAAAGCTGATTGCATTTTGGTGGTCAAAGGTCAAGGTCACTGTGATGTTAAGCAGCTCTTGTTTTCAATCATTAGTTATAAAACATGAACTCAATACAATTCAATAATTCTTAAGTATTTCAGTAGGTTTAAAGACTAACATTTGCTCCTGAGTGAAGGTTGTGGTTTTAAACTTCATCACTTGATGAACAGCAACACAATTTATAAATATGAGATATATAAGTGATGTGTTATACGTCCTCACTGTGCCTACACAATGCATAAGCATTTTATCTATATATATTTTTGTTGTATAGCTATTGATGATAATTATATTGCAATAATTATGGATATTGTTTTATTGCCCAGCCGTACAATACAGTATATCCAGATCACAGTTGTCCCGTTATATTGAACACATACAACCCAGTGTTGTCAAAGACAGGTCAAAAATTCTCTATGATTTGTTGAGTAAGTTTCATAATCTGTTTAAGACAAATAACGTCTTGTGCTTTTACATTTTAGTTTTTTATTTGGAATATTATTTTTTGAGTGTGCTAGAAAAGATTATTCCCTCAGATCAGAGCCAGTATTGTCAGTTGCACGACTTGTGTTACATATTTATTGATCTGCTTTGTTGAAATTTTGTGATAATCAATTATTTCTATATAAGTGAGGGATAATGTTCTGAGATATTGTGTGCGAGGAGCTGAACAGAATTTCTCGTAGTAAAACAAATATCTGGACGCAGACTGCTGCAGGAGACATCATTATCTTTCTCTCACAGACCTGAAACTGTCAATAGTTGGTTAAGTCTTCAGCGTAAGCACAATGATGATACCTCTGCCTCAGTCAAACAGAAAAAGAAAGTGAAACACTTCTCATGTTTACAGCATATGTGTGTGTTTGCATTTATCTCAGCTCGAAGCGTAAAAACACAGACACAGTCCTATTCTGCATGAACAATTATGGCTCCCTCTGTGCTCACAATGGAATAAAAACCTTGTCATTTCTTCAGCGTTCAGCCCGCACAATAGTAAACATTTATATTGATGTGACACTGTCCACCCACTGTTGCTTTCAGAATGAGATTTTCGCCTCTCGGCATCAGGATGAAAATAGTGTGGCCTGCATAGAAGACAGATGCTATGTTCTCCCACTAGCCCAGTACTGTAGGTAAGTACTCACACACTCAAACACATGCTCACAGCAATACATGTTAGCAGAGAGTCGGTTTCCTTTTAATTAACACCTCAGTTGTTGTTTTTCTGACTTTCATATCACACATCAGTGACACTGCAACTGTAAATGAATTTTGGAGAACACTGGGCCATGAACATTAGCTTAGAAATCATTTGCAAATATCAGTTTCAAGTTCTGTTGCTTGTACTCTTCAAATAATTGTACACTAACATGAGGACATATTTGATATTAAATGTCAGTGTCAATAGTTTTTTTGCGCTCTCCTTTCCTTTTCCTAGATATTGTGCCTTGGTGAAGCGGCGTTCCGAAGGTGCCCCATCTGGCAGCGCCAGCATGGTGCCCTGCCGCCCGGACTTTGCCCCCCCCTCCCACCGCTGTGTGCCCACAGACGTTGACCCCGAGCTGGTGTATCTCTGCCGGCACGTCTACGACTTCCGCTATGGACGCATCCTGAAGAACCTCCAGTAGAGGGCAGAGGGTTTGTCTATGAATTAATCATCGCAAAAGTCCCGAAGGAGCAAACACCCCTGGTCTTTTCTGCTGGGGACCTCACAGTCAGAGGGAAGGGGGAGGATGGGGTTGGGTTGGTGATGCAAAAAGTGTTTTTACAAAGCACAGATCCCTTTAGTCAACTACAGAGGGGGGTTACAATGTGATAGATGAATCTGTCTCAGCCAGGGCACTGATATTTCCTGCTTTGGAACAGTGAGGAGGGGACCTTTCGTCCATCAGCTTGGATTTTTTTGGCTTCCACAGCACTCCGAGGTTACATAAAAGGTTGTGTCTCCCCCTCCCCTTTGCCTGCCAGGAATGCTGAACACCAGGCTGAACTTGGCTACTGTCAGGACCGCGTTTCCCCCAAAGCATCTTAGCACAACAATCATGTTTGTTCCATTTGTAAACCAATGGCTCAGGGATGGTCTGCCTCTAAGGTGCTTCTGGGGAAGACAAGCCTGCACTGTCAGCTCGATGTTAACGGTGTTCAACCAGCCAGGGTGGAGGAGCAGCTAATGGACAGTGTCGTCTTATTTCCCCTGATTTGAGTTTGTCTCAGTGTGNTGAAGTCACAGAGCTGCAATGAATCCTGGGACATGATGGGCCGGGTAGAATCCACTTGGTAGAGCCTCCGATGATCTGGGGTGGAAGGACACATGTGTTGGCCACATTTGGTGGAGCCTTTGAATTAGGACAGTCTAGTCACGCTGCTGTGACGTCGGTCTTTAAATGCAACCTCCGACAATGGATGTGGCTTCCGATTTGAGACACACCTCTTTTGTGCCTCTCTGTGTTGTTTATGTGTGTGTGTGTGTGTGTGTGTGTGTGTGTGGCAGAGCGAGGGTTGTCAGTATGGATAAATGGATAAATGTGGGTGTGTGTGATGGTTTTTTAGGAGGCTTTCAGGCAATCAAACCAAACAAGCAGCTTTAGAGAAAGTGGGCCTCTCTCTCTCTCTTTCCCTCTCTCCCTCCCTCCTCTCTCCTTTGTGCTTCAGCTCACTGACACTGACATTTTCATCTTGAGTGACGCTCCGCTTAAACTAAATTACCTGAAGGGTGTATGTGAGACTCAGCTCTAGATTACAGTTTCTTTAACCTAGGGTCATGACACTAAACTGATTCTACTAATGAAACACACTCAACTTAGACCACAGGCACAGTTTGGTTTGGTTCCGGGGGGCTCACTGAAGCTCCATAAGGCCAGGACGAAAAATACATTATCATCTATATTCTTTTTAAAATAATACCAATGTTTCCCTTGAATAATTTAGACTGTGAAGGCTGTGACAATTTATCCAGCCACAGTTTCATAATGAACTAAAATCTTTATACACACTCATGACATAGAGCTCTAATTTCTGCTTTCTCTTTGATCATGATCATGGGCACACAGTTCTCTGCAGACAGGGTGACTAAGATCTTGCGGTTTATTGTGCAGGACAGCAAACTGTGTGCGTGTTGCAAGTTTGGTTTCTATGTGAATTAGTCCATCACACATGTTAGCCAGGGTATGAAAGTTTACCTGCTGGAATTCTAATTATTATTTTCGTTTTGATGTTTTACACATTACATTTCCCCCAGATTTTTTTGTGAAGCCCCAAACTTGAAGTCCAAACTGTGCCTAAAGCCACAATTGATCATCAGACTCGTTTTTCCTCTCAGCGCAGCCCTTCTTTGAAGAAGCCCTTGTCCCAAATAAGCTCTTTAAGGATCCAATGGAGAGAGAGAGAGCCCTGGCTGAAGATGTGAGACCCTCCTCTGCCCTGTAGAGGCGTATTAAGAAGAGTTGTTCCCTGTAAATTGCCTTATGACTTGCAGGTAGAACTTAAGGCAGCTAGTCTTACCACATACGACTAGGAAGTGGTAGATTGGATTTACTCTTGTCCCGAGAAGTAGGATTTTTCTGCCAATCAGTTAACAGCAGTGGCATGAAAATGCACTGGTTTAGTGCTGCAACTTAAGTATTTTCATCATCTGTTAATGGTTTTATTGATAAAATGCCAACAAATGGCCTGTGTCAGAAAAAGTGTCTTGTTCAAAACCCAAAGATTTTCAGTTTTTATGATCATGTAGAGGAAAAAACATCAAATCTTTAATTATTTTAAATGGCTTCAATGAGGATTAGATCATCAAAATAATCGTTGCAGCTCTACACTGGTTAGAAAGACGCTTTTCATGTTGTTGACCTGCTTTGCTCTAGCTGCTCACCTTGCGTCCTGAAGTGCCACAACACCTGGGAAATGTCTATTCTATCCGTTCTAATTCTACACCCATACTGATTTTTCTTCTTCCTCCTCTTTCCCCAAAGACAAACCAAAGGATGTCACACAAGCCAGAGTCCCTGTCTCCTCCCTCTTACTTCTTCTCTTCAGCACTTCTGCCCTCGTTCCCTTATTATATTGCACTAATCCATTCCTTAATTACAACAAACATGATTTTTTTTTCCATTTGTTCTAGCTACTAATATCGTCCTGGGGGGGAAACATACTGTGTGTGTGTGTGTGTGTGTGTGTGTGTGTGTGTGTGTGTGTGTGTGTGTGTGTGTGTGTG